CATGCATTATGAAAATGACATCATGATAAGCCTCGCGTCATTTTGAAATGCTTGTTTTATGTCCGATAACTTGGGTAGTTTTATGGGTAGCTTTATTTTTGCTTATGGTTTTGTGTACGTTCATAATAATGCTGTATGGTTTGTCGGTTTTGGTTGATTTTGGATAAGGCCATCGGCTGTATATATGTGGTTAAATATAATTAGACGTGTCTATTCTGAGGCTGCCTCGTTGGGCGAGTGGTTGCAAGTGTGACTGCTGGGCAAGGGGTCCGGTTTCGATTCCTGGGTCGATAAAATACTACTGGGTTTGCACGGACTCTGGAAATGTGCCCGGTATATGGCAATAGGCTCACCCCCTATTACATGGTGAAAAGTGGGTGTTACATTATACTTACAGTGGCATTAAGTGCCGTAATGGTACATACCTCTGCCTAACCCTTCCGGGATACTAGGCGTGATGCTAAACAAACAACATGTGTCTATTAAAAATTGTGTCGTGTCGTGTCGTGGTGGCCTGGAGGTTAAGATTTCTGTTTGAGGTGGTTTCTCATGCATGAGGGACGGGCCCGAAAACTACCAATGCCTACTACTAATGTAAATTTTTCTGACTTATGTGTACTTTCTAAGGTTATTTAGATCCCACTGACAAAAAGTGAAGGAAAACTTCGGGAGGAAATCTGGACTTATAATATCTAACTATAAGTTTGAAATCGCTAACCCGCAATAAGCAAGAGTGGTTATTAATTCTCAAACCGTCTCCGTGTGAGAAGAGGCTTTGCTCATCAGTGGGCATTTATAGGCTGTTGATGATGATAATGATGATGATTAAAAATTAGATATCATATGTTGTATTGTTTTTTTCTTCCAACTTATATCTTATTTTCGATGAAAAACGTTAATAGTCTGTAATAAAAATAGGTCATCGAAGTGTTCCAGGGCCGCGGGGGTAGAACATGACTCATTTATGTTTGCAGTTAAAATTCATTTATTATACTTTAAATTAATGCGCGTCGGTAAACAGCTTCATGTTATTAATTACCAATATTATTTACTACATTATATACATTGGAAAAGACGGTAAACATTTTATTGTTTGTTCATATTTACATCAAATATTGTGTAAGTACTACAACTGTTGTTATGAGTGTAGGTACTAAAGGTAACCTAGATTTCCTTTGTTATGTTGTTAGTCATAATAATTATATTAAACCCTAAAAGCTTCCACATTCATTTTAGGAACCTGGCTTTAGGCGGATTTATCAAGGGCCTGATACTCAGCTCCTGATAGGTCCTCCTACCTGATAGGCAGCTCCCCTAGAAACGGCACATATCGTGATAAGGTTTCTGTCTCTGGAGCCCTAACCACCGGTAGTTTTACATTTTTAAATATTTAAGAATTAATTTAGTATTGTATAATGTAGTATTTTAAGCACCCTTCGTCTTTCAATTAAGTCGCGGAGAACCTAACGGGTAACCGGGACTCCGGCTCGACATGCAGGAGAAGGAACGGGGTGGTTTTTAGTCAGTAAGAGTCTGACACTCCCTCCCGCCTCACCCAGGCGGGATCAGTCATCCGGTGATTTTCCCCCTTAAAAAAAAAGTCTTTCAATTAAAAATACACAGCTTTTTAGATAACTACCATACCTACTAATTAAAATCAGACATACATTTTATATTATATTATAATAACTATCGTGAGACATGCTGAATCAAATAAAAAATAAAAATTACGAGTTAGTCACGCGACTGCGCACGCTGCTCAAGAGTCCCTCTGTGACTCGAAACTAGTAGAGCTTTTCTCAGTTTAATAACACTTTGTCACTTTAGTAAAATGCGATTTTTAGTCTCCTCCTAATTTTTAGTTAAATATGATTTTTATAAAACTTCCGTGCCAGTAACTTAATATCAGTAACTTGTCGACGGGATCAGTATCCGAGCCACCCTACTTGAAGGGCGACCCCTGAATCACTTTATTGACTGTAAAAAAGATTGGGTCAAGGTCAAAGGGCTCGATTACGTGAATTTATTTAAAAATAATGGATACAATTAACGAATGACTGATTAGATTTTAATAATTTTGGAAGAAATGATCTTTGTGGTTTTGTCTTAACAACTGTGTAGTTACAACTGGTTTTGTCTATATATTCTCAAGTTGAACAAAATGTATTAAAATCACCCTTAAGGCTTTGACTGCTAATAATAACTGTTGAAGGCAAATCCTCCGCTTACGTTGGTCATCAGCGACCCGTTTAATGTGATAAAAATTACTCATCGTAACTAAGATTCATAATGATAAAATAATAATTCTTACTTTTATTCTACAATAGGCAGCACTACAGCATTTCAACCATTCATTATAGAAATATTACCTAATTGTATACTTACATGCTGTCAATTAAGTGCAAACCCTACACGACAAGGACAAACCCATTGAAGAGAGAGAGAGGGGGAGAGTTGAGGCCAGGAGCAAATCTTGAATTCATATAATCGAGTATAAAATAACTGAGATCTTTAAAATGGAGAAACTCAGTGCACATTTCGAAAATACCTATAAGTATTAGCGATTTATCACGACATTTTCTTGAATACTAACTGTTTAAATCTATATATTGTTTTTTGTTTCCCGTTGTCACGCTATAACTTGAGAACGGTTAGACCGATTTGTCTGACCTTTTTTAGTTGTATTTGTTATTATTAGGAGAAGGTCCTTAAGATATAAAACATTCTGAAAATCCTACGGGAACGGAAGAAAATGGGACGAAGTCGCTGACAGAAGCTAGTATAAAATAATTATTTTATAAACTACGTTTAAAAAGTTCGACTCCAACTCTAATTTTTTTAAAATCGCTTAACCGGTAATTAAACTGTCAAACACTGAGCGGTCACCGGTGACCGCAACCTATTGTTCTATAATTGTGTCTATAATGACGGTACTCGACGAGTTAATGTACTAAAACCTTCTCCTGGGTGTAACAAACACTTTTTTAAAAACCGCATCATAATCGGTTCAGACAATCGCGCATCAACATAAATACACACATACATACACATTTTTTTCTTTTTGAAGTCATTTAAAAATAGCAAATATTAACAGGATAACTTATAGCAAATATTATCCACCATCCGCTCAGCATCGCTTTATCTGCCCCAGCACAGTTTGTGTAGTAGTTTTCGCTCGGCGGAGCGCGAAATTATCGATTGTTGTAATTAATTGCAAACATCCAACCGATGAAATTAAATATCAATTTATAGAATGAACGTGCCAATTTAGAATATACTGATAACACAGTTTGTGTGATGTTTTTAATGAATCTATCGTTGTTGTGGATGTGGAGATTAAGTATTTATTTGTGTAAACATTTAGTGCAATTTCATATACCTAATATTAATTTCGTATCTCTCAATAATGTCAACACGGCCTAGTATGGGAAAAAGTAAAGTATGGTGAAGACATATCAATCCTTTTGATCAATGTTACTTAGTTACAATAATCATAATTTACAATTCCTCAGCTACTCAAGCAAAAATATCTCAACTTGACTACGCTCTACGAACTATCGTAGCTCGTAGCAGAGACGTAGCACGTTCGTAGCACTACAATTCTAGTTTTTTCTCCTACACTTTAATTATTATGCTGTCTATATCTATATCACTTTTAAAAATTACAACAAGATTTACTTTTTGTTATACAAAATGGTTTTACCCAATTTTTAGGAATGTTTTAAACAATTCTCATTTCGTAGCCCTAGATAAGCATATCGCTCTACTTCGCCATTTAAAACGTGACCTCATTGTAGAGTCCACTTTATACATATAATTTTAAATAATTAATGTTCTGAAACATCGTCAGTAGGGTGTCCACGTTGATATTCATCATGGAAATTGCAGTACTAATCCTCATTAATTACTTGGCAATTTTAAATCTCATTATAGTCGTTCAAATCGGTCTGGCATCGATTTTTCGTTGTGTGTCGAAGCCGTGGATCGCATATATTATCGTCAATGCTCAGGTGACAATCATTTCATTGTGGAATTAGTGTGGCTTTTGAATCGGTAAAACCATTAATACTCTTTTGTTGGTCGTTTGCCTAATCTCTGATTTATTTATCAATTTCATTTTATTAGTGTGTTATGTGAAAATATTGTCGATACTGTTAGGATTGGTATATGTACCTAAGTATGAAACTAAATTGGATTGCCTCGTTGTACGATTTATCATCAGCAATGAAAACTTTTAATTTTGTATAATTTTCGACGGAAGAGCTTCAAGTTTGCTAATTATATGATTTTGATCGGCCTGTTCTGCCGATAGACCAAGTTGAGGTTTGTACATCTGTATCTATGGTATTCGCTATTTCATATCAAAACATTTTACCAAAACAAAACTAAACATAAACAAAGTTATCCTGAAAACCACAGAAACATGGCCGTCGTACTGTGGGCGTTCGTACGTCTGTCCATCGTATCGCATTGGCGCAAATTAATGAGGGTGCGATATTTATTTCAGAGTTTCGTTTGCAGTTGCCAAAATATCAGTTCACCTATATGACAGGTGATGCCTACATATGCAGTCATATGTAGACATTTGTAGTCATATATAGTCATTTGTAGACATACATGTAGATATATAAACAGCTACAGTAATGAGCTTATTAAAGTTGATAGCATGGACGACGGCGGCCGATATTTGTGAATTTGTTATTACTGCGAAGGTTGGTTTGACTGATTTTGAAGTTTCGATATTAATTTTGATTGGCTCGTGTTTGGGACGTAGTTTAGTAATTTTGTAGGGTTGGCACGGATGAAGTTTGTTCGGCAAAGATATTGATGGTCCAAGAATTTTGAAATCGGTACATTAATACATCATGTTTTTATGACTAGCTTTTTATAGGGTTGATAAAATATAAAAAAGAAACATCAATGGATTTGTAGATTTTATTTATTGTAAAATGAATTCTGCTACTTGTAGTCAACAGAAGTAATAATAACGGGAAGCGGAAACGACAAATGAATTGCTATGCAAAGTTAAACCACATTGTTACAGTACATTCAATATTTTAGTATTGCACAAATTGTTAAAAATATAAACATGTAATAATTAAAACAGAAAACTTCGCCAGTTAATTAATTTTAATTACAATTAACGAATAAAACAAACACGTGAACTTAGCTGTTGAAAACATTAAATTTTAAATTGGAAACATGTCTATAAACAGCCAAATAGTCATACAATATCGTCACATTAATTCTGAAATACAACTATACAAAAAATGCAAACTATACAATAATTTTAATAACAAAACTAAACGAAAATCTGATCTAAAGTTATCTACAAATTGGACAGAGTTCACATACTCAACAGATAGTTACTTAGAACTAAGTATACATCTACTCAACTTGATAATTGCACATCTATTGCACTTTACAAGATGCATTTACAACAAATAAGTATTCACAGTTCTTATTTACAAGTTTGCCATTAAAAGACAAAGTTAAATCTTTTTTACATCTTGCTCCTGTCAAAATGTTGGACGGCCAACAACCAATGCCATAGTGGTGAGCGCATGACTCTAATCGTATACGGTAAGTTGGTTAAAGTTGGAGCAAAGTCATGAACTACACTTGTAGGTGTTGGCTAGCCAATATTTGAACCAATAATTGGTGTATGTATCAAAACTAGTGAGATGAAACTAAATGTATGATATATTCTCTATCACCGACACTTACAACAACATTGTAACCAAACATTTCCTTGCTTAAAATCCAGACTACGACCAAAATGTTCTAAAATGTCAATTTTATTTTTTTAATCAACAGAATCGTATAAATTTAGGACGGGAGCGAACTTTGGAACTAGGTTACATACAAATTTCAACTAATCCAATCACCTGTATCTCGTATTTTACAAATTAATTTAGTTCAAAACGCAATCGAGAATCTATTTCGTTGCCTCCTCTCTGTTTCGATCTATAACAATTCTCATCTAGAATCAAGACGTCGAAACAGTGTAAAACCACTATTCGTCACATGAAAAATACAAAAGGGACACACACTACTGGTTTACCCGAGGTATCGACACAGACGATATATCTACCAACACATATTGTTCGTATGGGTGCAATAAAAGGAACATCACTTTGTTTAGTAGGGTCGCCACACCGTGTTACTGTCTGGCTGCGGATTACCTCTTTGTCCGAGATTATTCACCCGTCCGTCCTCACCCCTAGCCGCCGCCGCCGCACAGGAGTTCCCTCCACCCAGGAGCAGGTCTTGCCCATGATTGCCGTGTTGTCTGTGATTGTTCGTGGTGGACGATATCTGGTCCATCATAGTTTGAAGCTCGTTATGGTGATTTTGCGTGGAGTGTATCGAGTTGGAGTGCAACGGGTGGAAGTTGTGCGTCTGGTTGGCGGCGGTATACAACTGGCTGTACAGTAAGCTGGCCGGGAGGACGGGGTATAACGAGTTGTTGCAGTTGCTGCCGCCATACGAAGTGTTCTGTGATCCCATTAACGAGGGGAAGTTTGAGCTGTTTGTGTGATTGTGGCCGATGTTTGTCGATGTGTTTGAAGTGAGTAAATCGTCCTGTACGGGTGACTCGGGCTGTGAACTGTTATCGCTAAGTGATCGAGGGCCCGTCGAGAGACTGTAGTCGGTGTTGTTGTTGTAGCGAGGTAAGAGGCTGCCGTGGTGTGACGGGGAGGAGCCGACGAGGCCCGATAGCTGCTGGTCTAGGTCGACGCCTGTCGTGTCTGGTAGAACTGTATGGACAAAAAATCGGTAATTAAAATTTAACAAAAGTAGATCAGTACTAATAGAACATTAGTACTAATACAAAATGACGACAATAGAGAAACTTCCAATAACAAATACTGAACAAAAAGTTGGTCCGCGGCTAATTTTGTAACTCATTTTTATAATGCCACGAAACAATACCCCAACCATAAATGGCTGTTTACAATTTTGTGGAAGTCTAAATATAGGTAATTGTTGTTATTATACGACACAGAATTTTAGTATGGTTTTAATATGGCTATATTTTTCGTTGATCGGGCACGCATCGACAATAAATTCATCGGCCGGATCGGACGTGTGCGAGCCGCTGTAAATTATAATGAGAGCCGGTTAATGTCCGACTAGCTGGCCTTAGAGTATTTAACCGAGAGTACATCATATTGGATCTGCGTCGGCCCTAACTGTAATTTTATATTTTACGATGTAGTAGAATTACTGTAATATGATAAAACGACTTTCCAAGAAGAGTAAAAAGTTATATCTAGGAGTAGAATAGACAGAACAGTAATAACGTAATAAATACATATAGGTTCTTGACTTACAATTTCTTAAACTTCGCTTGGAATTTAAAAGTACGGATGCAACATAAAGTCGTTTCTATAATAAAAGATTTAATATTATTATCGTAATTAAAAGTTCAGTAGGCACATTATCACTGATAAGTATCATGTATGCACCATCTGTTCTCATAATCTATGGCTTATCCGCTGAACGTATTATTTAAAGGACGACATGAGTTGTAAAAGTATTGGTATGTTTAATTTTGCTGCACTGAATATTGATTACTGAATGTAAGAGGTATTTATAAACCTTGTTGTGTTTTGTAGTAGGAATAATTTATCGGTGGACTATAATAGTTTCTCTTTTGTATTGGTTTTGAGAAAGAACGATTTAACTACTAACATTGATTTATCAATTGGGAACTTCACTGCGAAAGTCTCCAGCAATCTAAGTAATTTTTGAAGAGGCTCTATGAATATTTCCAAAATTATTGAACAAACAATTTGTGTTGGAATTGATGAATTTGAATGTTTGTAAATAGTACAAGTAAGACCGATGGTTGGTAATACTACCAAGAACCGATATTAAAGACTGAAATTTTCATCATACCTGTATTATTAGCAGTAAAATCTTGCGTAGGCGTCTGATCAGGAACAGTACCAGCGAAGCCCAGCGCTGGGGGGTTGAACTGTGATGCTGCTGGCGCTGCACAGGACGGGAGGTATGCTGGGTATGCGCCTGCACCGCCGTATCCCCAGTGCGAGTTACTCGAACTAAGACCGAATTGACTCATATCTGTGGGAGAAAGTAGTAGAAATATATATAAATTTAGTTTGTGTTATTATCGTATGAAGTGATCATGATTAAGTCAGTTGCATTTAGTCGTTGAGTACCGTCATTATAGACACAACTAAACAACAACAGGTTGCGGTCACCGGTGTCCTCGCGGTGTTTGACAGTTTAAGACACGTTTATGTTGTATGTAACACGGCAATAAGTCCGTTGACAGACCTCTAAGAGACCTATCTACGTATGTATAGATGCGAAACGACTAGAAATGATTACCTACTCAAAATATTCATAATTATTTAAAGGCTATAACGCCTAACCTCGAAAGAAAATAGAAGAACATGGGAAATATCTCCACTGAAGACTATGTCACCATATTGCCATAAAATGCATGCAACACAACAAAATAATAGCCACTGAAGCATGCACTTGTGTGTTGCAACTTATCAATTCAAACACGAATGTTTGCAGAGAAAAGCGCGCGCGGTCACTTATAAAGATGTCCGGCCCGGTCCGGCAGCCGTAGCTACACTTTATTTTTTCCCGGTATCAGTGGCTTTTATTTTTCGGTATCACGGTTCCGTTTTTGGCCGACGATCGGCGGACTCGGTTTTTATACGGTACGCGTTCCCGCCGTCGATTTGCGAATGCCTTTTTTTCCGTTTTGAGCCGCATGAGTTGTTTTGGGGTAGCCGTGGATTTTAGCGGGCTCGAGCACGCTTGTTCGATTGCGTCCGCAGTCAGCTTCCAGTCCGATTCTCTTTTTGGCGTCGGCTGATTGAATCCGCGCTTTAGTGAACGTAGTTTAGCGTATCGCTTGGTTTGGCGACTCATTCACTTTTGAGCCTCGCGCTGCCTAGGTTTGTGCTATCATTCCGATTTAGATTCCTGGTTTGGTTTCGATTTATTTTGTTTGTGTCGTGTTTTTGATTTTTGGCGGCTCTTTTTAGGCGGTTAGTAATTAATTTTCAGTGTTTCTGTTTAGTTAAGTTTTTCACTTAACTACGTAACTTATTATTTTGCATCAGAAGCAAATTGCCAAATTATACGAACATTTAATTTCAAACAAAATAAGAGCTCATGTAATGTTTGAAAATGACTACATTTATTTAATAAGACCCATTTAATTACTATAACACAGAAACACGCAAATGTAATTAAAAATAAGCACTCTTTCAATACTCACTCTGGCATGTAGTGATGGGTGGCATTCGGAACCCTCCCAGAGGGTCGGGGGGGAACGGGAACGGCCTCTGTCCGAATGCGAAGTGGAACTGCTGCTGCTGTCCTAGGAGTGAGAGCACTACATCAGTACGATACAGGCTGCCCTTTGGTATTCACTATTAGAATACTAGTACTAGGCTTAATGAGATAACTATACTGAATATATATTCGTGGGTATTATAACAGTGTACTGTAATGGTCAATGTGGTCAACTAGCAAATATGAATTTCAAACGTGAATGTCTCTGGTTCGAACCTCAATTGTATCGCATAGACCAAGAAGGATGTTTAAAAAAAAGGTGCACAATATGTCATGTTTTTTTTTCTTCTTTGGCAACCGAGTCTCCAATACGCTGTTGTCGACTATACTGCCAGTGTCGGGTGGTGTAATGCCACTTAGAAATGATTGAAGCATCAAAATGTCAGTGGATAATTTATGTGTGCGTGTGTATTGGGCTACCCTGTTACCAGACTTAAGAAAATGACAGATGTCCTTCGTGTCAATGTATGTATGTTCTGCGTGTAAGTCTATAGTAGCCAGGTGCCACAGTCGTTGTTTCAAGAGACTGTGTCCGCCTTTTTTCACCGTGTTTGGCATAGTCAATATTTTTTTTTTTAATTTTCAGAATATAACCATCCTGAGTTTGACAACAAAACTGCAATAGTTAGATAATAACGCCAACGTCATTAACATAGGAATCATACATCTTAAACATTCATTTCATCGCGCGTTATGAAAGTGTAATGACTTTAGGAATAGGTACTACATTAACAAATCCACTCATTTTAAACGTTTATTAGTTTATTCATATACAAAATTAAACATTTCACACTCACACATAAACAGCAGCACATGTACAAGTATGTACCCAGTCTCACGTTCTGAAACACCCTTCGATTAGTCCCTAGACACTCGATAATTCATCGACACTCGTGTGACATGCCTGCCTACCCCCCCGTGTACGAATTAGTTACAACTTGCCACCGTGAAATATCGAAGCCTTGTTGGAATTTCAATTTAGTTCTATTTATATAGGATGTGTTCCTTTTTAAGCTGTTTTGAGTGTAATTAAAGAAGCCAACGTATAAGATAGATAGATTAACTTTCTAATACTATCTTTGTTTTTTTTTAACCGACTTAAAATAGGAGGTTCTCAGTTCTCATTTTCAATAAAGTGTATTTAAAAAAAAAATATCTTCCTTTAAATCGGTTAAATAAAAAAAATAGGGGATTAAAGTCAATTTTTTTAAATGTAGTTTATGTAAAATAATTATTTATTTATTTATTGGCATTTTTATATAATGTTATATTCTATATTCTATATATATAATAGTCTATGTAAAAAAAAAATAAAAAAAATATAAGCTTTTTTATTTAATGAATTTTTTATTTATTCTAATCTAGATATCATGACTTTTGGTTTTGTTTCGGTGTCAGAGTAGTCAGTTTGATATCGAACTCATTACTTTTACTTTATATTTATAAGAAATTAAGTGACATTTTGCAATTTTTGATAAACTACAATAACAATATTTTTTAATTTACAATAACTTTAATTAGTTTATGTAACTGAATTAGAATAATGAATGTTATTACTCTTACTGTAAACTGTAACATTTTTGTATGCATTTACTTCACTTTAACATATATGTCCTTTATATTAAACGACGATCATTTCCACCTCTTTCCTACACTCATACTAATGTATAGAAACTAAATTACACTCCACATCGTAATATTAACAGTTTAACTAGAAATTAACACATTGGTAGTGCATTCAGATTCATGATTCAACACTTCCGTATAGTGCTGTAAGCCAATTGAGTCTGATGTAAGTTACTCAGTCTATGGTCGGTATTAACATATTGACTATACCCGGAATTTTAATTCGATTCCAGATTTGACAATTTCAGTGTTGCAACGTTATGACAAGTACTAAATAGTGACGTTGCGAAATTATTCGATATGGAAATGCAATATTTCTGGATCGATTCTTCTCGTTTATAATTTTACTCTCGTAAACTAAGGATATCAGGAAATTAAATATTTCTGACCAATAATTTAGTTTAACGATTACTTAACGATCTGAGACTTTTCTTTTATAATTGTGTGTGAAATAACTAAAAAAAAGATAATCATGAAGGAACATGACAAATAAAACAGATAGATGTATTATGGTAATAAGTTATTTTATAAATTGTCGCCGTCATCGCTATCGCTGTCACTTTCTGTAACATTTATTATAAAACACACACACTGATTATTTATCGATTTTTGTGCCCATCTCTACACTATTATATGTGGTATCATTATTTCACAAAATGACAGTAGCTATTGTCAAATCTGGAATCTAAACTGTCAAACACCAAGCGGTCACCGGTGACCGCAACCTATTGTTCTATAATTGTGTCTACAAAACCGGTACTCACGAGTTAAAATTCTGACTATAGTCGTTTATAGACACACTAAAGTCATGTCTATGATATGATTACGTTTGTTTTGGTCTATTGTGGAGATCATGATGCTACTGGATTATTAAAGTTTCCAGGTAGTTTTCATTCACCATCTAATACAAAAGTAACTAAAAAGTCATTCGCACATAATAGGGATGATGACAGGGTACAAAAATTAAAAAATGTAATTAGTCCGTCAGTTAGGTAGGTTATGAAAAAATATTAGACACCTATTTTTTGATTTTGTTGTATAATAAAATGATACTTAAATATAACGAATCAAAGTTTAGGAGTGGGAGCTAAAACGTCATTTCTACGTATAAAATGTACTGAGACGTGACGTCATGCGACATTTCAAATCAATATATCTTCGAAACTATTCGTTTCCGTAAAAAAATACGTGGTTAATGTTTATAAATAATCTACCAGACGGACATTAAAATTAAATTAGTCATCTACCCTATCGCTTAGTATAAAAATATAGATTCGTGTTGCCGCCTTCCAATTTATTGCATTGTATTCTTAAACTTATTCAGGAAAGTTTTCCTATGTTAGTTTATTTTAATTTGCACGTTAAAAGTGATAGAAAATTACACTTCGTAAACAGTATAGTACAAAGGTGTCTGATTTACAAAATGAAGAATCATTTGACATAATAACTACGAATTATGAATTCACCAAATTATTATCTTACTTGCAATTTCACAAAATATCCGACACTACTATCTAATCTTCTCAATATGCCACCTTAATTCGGATAATCTCAATACGGGGTTCAGTATAGTACAGGGGGATATAGGGAATAATTGAAGCGACAAGGCAGCATTGTCTGCGGCACTCTTCATGGGCGACATGGCGACATAATTCAATCACGGGGAAAGCGGTGACATAGGAACATTGTATGACGCTTCTGGTTGCTTAGTAATCAGAATCAGTAGGGAGTTCCATCAATTTGGTTTGAATTTTGAAAGATGTGGAAACTCTTTGCTTAGAGACTCTATGTTCCATTTGGCGTAAAGTTGAAAGACGTGGATACTTATTGCTTAAAAACTGTCAGGACTCAATACTTCTGTCTTTATGGTTAGAAAAGATTATTAAAGAAGTTTTTTTTAGGTTGGTTCTTATTTTGCTTATATCTCTGTGGGAGGGTGATTTTTGTCTCTGAATTTCTATTTGTTTCAGTTAATACTTTCATATCTTTTTGTGGAGAATAATTTATTTATTTATCATCACAGCTTTAAACGAAGGCGATGTGACAATAATTTATATTGCTTGAATTTTACACTTTAAATATACTTATGATATTAAATCAATGCTAAAATCAACTAATACAATATAGACAATATTAAGCTAGGTACAATATAAGATTGCACTCTCAGTGTCAAAATGCAAAATATGTAAATGCACTTACACGGTCCGCGGCCATTACATTGACAAATGCACGCACACATACAAAACAATTGGACTCATAGACTCACACATAGCTAGGGCTGTCTAAATTATTGAAATGTATATTAATTATATTGACTTTTCAGGAAATAATGTCATTATTAGAATACTTTTACTAAAAATACTTAAATAAACTTTAGTTTAATTTAGTATTATTTAACGGGATACGTGACAAGTGATAATATTAAATATGCAAGATCAACTATTATTTTCAATGGGTATTGCAAATATATATTATTAATTGAACATTTCATTAGATTTAGGAAAATTTACTTTAGTCGAATAAAAAATCTTACAGAAACCTTAAAATATTGAATATTATCTAAATAAAACTCATAATTAAAATAATTTAAATCATAACCCACGATATAATACAAAACCATTCAACAAAAAACCTACCAAAATAATTCTCAATTTCCAAAAAACCCAACACTGGAAACCATTCGGTACCAAAACAAAAGATCAGGACATATTAAGCACACACATGGCTCTCTATTCCCGTGCAAAAGGCTCGAGTGTATAAATCAGCGACGCAACAATTACACACTTTCATGGCAAGTTGGAATTAGAAACTGTCATTTGCACCGTTCGAGGCCCACCCCGTGGGGGGAGGAGGGGGTGTATTACAAATGGGAGGGAAAAATAGGGTGCGGGCAAGGGCTACTACGGACCTGATTAAAGGATTACACCCTGTGCCGTCCGGTCTAGTTAAATTTATTATGCCAAGTATTTCTACTAGTTAGTCCTTGCGAACCGTCGCGTCTGCTTGATGGTAGTTCGTTTAAAGATTTAAATTGGACCGGATTTTAAATTTATGTGTTCGGATTTTGTATTGGATTAGATGAAGCTGTGTAGATAGTTTTGCCTATGAGTATGGTGTAAAGACTATAAATTCGAAGTTCATCACCCTTCTAGATAGACAATGCACAAAAGTTATGAACTTAGTCGCCGTGTGAAGTAAACAACGGAGTTTATTGTCGTAAACATTGAGATCGGCGCAGGCGACGGTAGCGCCACGCATGGGTGGTCCGAGCGCTGTTCCCGAAATAACCCGAAACCAGCCGAACAGAACACGAAGAAAAACATCGTTAGACGGGCGGATTATAAAATTGTAGTCGGCTTCTGTTGGCTACTGAGCGCGATAAAACGCGCCACCCACCCAGCGGACAAAAATAGTGGGTAAGGGTAGGACACAATGTGCCCGTAATATCCGCATGGTGTGTGTACATCTTTACCGGTTGTTCTCAAATGACTGTTCAAATATCGAGAGGAATTTTAAACGAGTTTGTTTGAAGTCTCCTCATTAAATCTCTTTTAGATGGTTAATTGAATGCGGAAAAAATAAGAACTCTATATTTCTCCATAATGTCTATAGAAATTGTCCTATTTCTAACTCACATCGCTAATTAAAAATTCTCTCAACTGGCAACAATGAACAAAACACCTCGAAAATAGCAGATATAATTTAAAATTAACTACAACTCCTTCCTTGTCAATCGTACATTCACTATCACGAGACAAGAAAACAAAATCCGTGATCGAATTGATGAGAACACGTATAGATACAACGCTACATGTGTCGGAACTTACTAGAATTAAATAATTTATCGTTGCGAGTAGAGGCTGGAGGCATAATAAATCAATATGCAGGGCACATGCATACGCGGTGAGGGGGTTAACTCCCCCGGCCCTTTCTTGACTAATTAATTAAACAACCGATTCATTACAGCAGCCTCTTTGTACCCTCACATTCGTCTCGTCGGTACCGATAGCATTCAGGAGGTTTCACAAGAATATGTGGAAAGGATCACTAGAAGTATTTCTTTTATCGTGTAAAAAGTTCGAGGATTTTTTATATTTTGGTTTTTTAATGTTTTTTTTTTCAGATGATTAATCATGGAACTATTAATATTAAAGAAAGATTACATATTATTCAATAAAATTGAATAATCTTGAATAATATCCTCAATTCATCAACCAAAAATGAAGATATGTCGCATTGATTCCATTAATACACAGTTAAAGCATACTTTATACAAAATCAAATAAAGTTAGCAGTAAAATTTTCCCTCTAATCTGGTAGTCCGACGGTACTTAACCCTTCGCCGGCCGCGGGGGGTCTGTGAGACCGACGGGTCGCCGGGTCGGCACTATCCCGCGGTGCTCGCAATTATTTTAATTTCTTCACGTGATGAGGATTGATCGAGCGTTAGGTGCGATTCGGCGACCGTCGGCACCCGTCATTTGTTACTCTCACCCAAACTTTTAACTATTTAAATTGCTTTCTTGATGTATAGTTAGGGTTAAGTGCTATTAGAATAGTTTTTGTCGTAAGTGATATGTTGTTAGTTTAGACTTAATAGTGAAGGACTTATGTGTACCTAAATAAACTTTTGTCAAGTTAGACTATGATGATATTCTTCTGCCTCAACACATCAGTCATGTAGCTGTTTACGACTACGACATGACCTGAATATTAGACTAACTATTAAAGAAATTTGTTTGAATGAAAGTCAAACCCCTACGCGGCTAATTATAATGTAACTTTTTAAATTAAACATTTTTATTTACATTACTTTTCAACTAAATTTAATTTAAAACAAAGACTTCAAAAAATCCAAAATATCAAAGCTTAGCAAATCAAATAGCGTCATTAAATACGTCATAATATTTTGTACCTCCAAAGAATCCCCTTGGTTCACGGTATCTGCACTCGAAAAGGTACGTTTTGGCAAATTATTAATAAATTACCTTCATTAAGTGTGTTTTACAATGTTTTGCGGTTTCGCTCGTTTGTTGCCGAGTGTTCAGACGTTTGCACGCTTTGATGTTTGGAGCACGAATGAAATAGTAGGAGGAATTAATTGGTATTGTAGACAGGTATAGTAGCTGCCTACCCGCGTTTTGTTAATTTTCATAGAAAGGTATTTACTGTTTCTGCGTTTGTTTATGGTTTTTATAAATTATTATTTTGGAATTTGTTAAATTAGGAACCTACATCGACTTTTCACTAGATAATATGGTATTAAATGAATTGAGATGGAAGCAAATGTATTCCTAAAATCGAATTTCAGCTTTACTTTATTGAAGATCGAACAGAACAGACCTCGAGACCAACTTACACTGTTATTTTAATTTAACTAATTGTATATGTCTTAATGCTCCTAAGAATACCCATTCAAATATAAATATTTCCACTACGCAATTAAAAAGAAACTCTAATACTAACTGGTTTTAGATCGAGGTTCCCTTGGACCGTCCACCGTCACTTTGATCGCTTTGTTGTAAGTCGTCACTTGAGGCGGCGTCGTCGATACAGTTATCGTAAGTGTGAACGATTTACCTGCAACAAAATGTCATATTAGTATTGTGCTAATTATATAAAACTATCATCTAATCATGAGAGCATAAGGTCTTAAATCAAATAATGAAGGAATAAAGATGTACATAGGTCTGAATAACCATTATTCAATTATACATATGGGATAGACATTATATTACTTATAATAACCTATTTTCTATGTAGTTCTATAAACAGTCAGTAAAATAAAATTCATACATTTTCACTGGTAAAACTTTAACCAACATTCCCTTAATACAGCGACGCATTTTATTAAATCGCGCCGTAGCGAAAAAGTAATTATAACAAACTGAAAATATTATTTGCGCAAACTTTTCACTCAAAGTGAGCGCACGCCATAAATTCAATCTGTGGTCGCCACTCTTTTCGCTGGCCGCCCACTTTTTGTAGTTCGATTTTGATCACTTGTTCGAAAAGTTAAAAATTTATTGCCGCTTCGTTTTCAATTTCTACGAACCGAATGAATTCGTTCCTACCTATGTGATACACACTGCCTGCGCGTGACAAATATTGTCAATCAAAAATACTCAGCCGACCCCACAGGGCGTATCAATATCATCGACCCTCCAATAAATTGGCTTATATCGGAATTATTACACGAGAGTTTCATATATGACCACTACAAAAAAGAACAAACGAAAACAAGCACTTGAATCGAAACAATCTCATTCAAACGTGGAGTGTGTAAAAGAGCAACTCATCCACTCCACGTGAGCGCGTCACAAACAGCGGGCCGACCACTTCATCACAGCGTAACGCCGGCAATAAAAAAAACATTTCCATCTGCGGAAAAACCACAGTTAATATTAAATGACCGTCCGTCAAAGCTGTATTGTAGAGCGCTTTGGCGGCCGTTCGCTGCGGGATGCAGCCAATACCGATTTTGTGATTTTTCCAGTGCCCCCCTCGCGGCTGCCTCCCTGTGGGGCGCGGGAGAGTGACATGTAAGCTTTAATGGGCCCCGGAGCGGCTGGCCGCTGGCTACACGCGAAAAAACTGAAAAAAGCCTCATTCATACGTGATTTCATGTGTAGGCTACTTTCTGCGGGCCCGGCGGTGAGGCTCGTTAAAAATGGAGGCCGTACACGCAGCCAGCTTGTTGCGGCCTATCGGAGTTTATTAACGCGGCCGAGGAACGCTTGCACCGTTCACAAAACAAGTGTTTGTGATGCTTTACGCTTTCGGGAACATTTTATAACGTGCCACCGTCTGTTCCTCGTGTTAGATACTTCGTTCAACATTAAATTGTGCAACGATACTGTTCAATACATTATTAAATACTTACGTTGGATTCAGTTTCATTTTTATTACTTTAAATTATTTACACTGAAATTTTTAATGCAAGTCGTGTCTTTAGTCAAAGTCAAAGCAATTATTTCAATTAAACTGTCGAACACCGAGCGGTCACCGGTGACCGCAAACTATTGTTCTTTAATTGTGTCTATATTGACGGTGCTCGACGAGTTTAAGCATATTTTTGGCAAAGTTTAAAGGAACCGAAATATTTATTCTGATAATACCTACATAAATTTATTAGGAAATGGTAAAACACATGCTTTTATAGAAATCATCAGCCAAAAAGAACATAATTAAATAAATAATTACACAACAACATTCATGGAGAATTTTCCGTCATGCCCAAAAAGCTATCAAAAAGGCAGGGTTGAAACAACGTGGCAAGACAAGGCAATGAGTGATGTGCAGTCGGAGTCGTACCGGTACCGTTACGTGCCGGTACCGTCTACGGCGCGCCTAAATAAATAACCCTACTTAATGTGGTGCCCACACGATACCTAGCACCGTTTTTACGATTTCACAATTTCCTCACTTGAGCCGCGACAACCTTCGATCCGTGGGGAAAGTTTTTTATCGTGTTATTGAACACATTTTTGGACGAAACGATTTATTAGCTGTTTAGGGAGAAGATATATGGATGGGGATTGTCTGTTAAGTTGTTTATAGGTATGAACAAATAAATTATTTCATTTAACTGAGAGTATATTTAACATGTGATTGTTCAATTTTTTTCGTTGACATTTACCGTATAATAGTGTAGAAATGATTTAATTTTGTCTACGTGTTTGAAGTTAAGAAGTTTTCTATGGTAATTAGTTGACCTACTTGACAAGGAATATATGCTCAGTGTTCATGAAACAAAATACATAAAATAAAAGAGGATATAGGCATTTCATAGTTTGATAATTTACCAATGCAAATAAACAGTCAAGCAGTCCAATGACTACTTCAGAAAGTACTGGACAGTTTCAAAAAATTATTTACCGAATAGAATGCATCTTTTCCTACAGAAAGGATGCCTTCAAATTAAAAAAAAATATATTAAAAAAAAATCCACGTGAGTAAAATACGTAGGCGCAAATTAAAAGAAACTTGACGAAGAAATGTAAACTTAAACACTAATAACAAATAATGTTTAATATCAATTGATAGTAAGTTACAATACAATTAGCGATCGCGCTCGCCAGCAGCGTTTAGTCGCACGACATCGCGACAGTAACTGCGACACTTGCATCGTTTCAACTTCTGTCGCTTTCGACATCTCAATTTGAGTCGAGACACTGGGTAATTGTGGACATGACTTGCTAATAAAACTTTTCTATCTATTTCGAAATGTTTGAGAAATAAATGTTAGTATGCGTATGTGAGCACCATGTTAGACTATAAGATTTTTTTTTTTAATTATTTTAGTAAGGTTTGTAATTAGTTACTTAACAATGCGTCAAGCGTCTCTTTGCATTGTTCTCACATATACATACAGTATTGGAATATGTATCAGAGACATTGTAGAATATACTTTTTTAAAAAGAGTAACGATTGGAGTTTCTTGCTCGTTCTCCTCCATTCGAATCTACATTTTGGAATGAGCACCTAGTTTCACCTAGCTTCACTGACGTACCGACTGACAGACTATTTGTTTTAGTTTGTTTTATATTTGTTGACGTTTCAAAAGTACCAAATTATGGTTTAATTGAAATAAATGCTTTGACTTTGACTTTGAAAATAGGTAAACTGTTGAATAAGAAAATGTTTTCTTTCTTTGTAATGCATTTAAATTTGAAATGCTAAGTAAGTTTGTAATTAAGGAGGTAATGCGCTGAATAGGACCAAGTTATGGGCAATGTACGTTATCTATTAAAGACCTGTCATTTGGAACCATTTAATTTGGAGATAATGCTCTTTTGATGATTAGTAGAGTACTATTTCAGTCAACAGCTTAACATTAAGCAAATCCTACCCGACAAGGCACATTACTAATTACTTTACAAGGCTTTCGACATTCAAGCGACGTGACGCATCCAGATTATTCTAACGTCGCCACCGACATTCCCTAATAGCTGGATGCAATCCAATTTGACAGCTGTCAAATACACTCGTCGCCTTGTCGCAGTCGCACGATTACTAAGCGTTGTCGTCGGCCGATAACGACCTGCTAATGCCCTCCTGTGCTAATTGAGTGAATTAATATTCCCGTGTAAGGTGATTCGATGTGTCGGCTTGACGCTGTTTCGGATGATTGAGCGATCTATTAGACTGAGTGTTTCAATTGGTTTGCGTTTGGCTGTTGAGTGAAGACGAAGTTGCAAGATATCGGAGTCAATCTCAAGTTTTATGATTGTTTAGTTTTTGCACGCCTGGCAGACGTTATTATAAGTTATTGGTATTGTAAGAATCTTAGACTGATTTTATTCCAAAAGTTAAATTCTCAACCAACACTTTGAAACGTTGGCAATACTTGTACTGCGGTCTGTTTCTCCGAAATGAAGTGAGCGAATTGACATTCACCGACATCACAGGACCACAAACTACAATGTCAAGCAACCTCCGCCTCGCAGACTGGAGCAATATTTCAGCGCACATTTAACTCCAATACCTAAACTAATAACAAAATGACGGTTAATAGAGCGTGAGTGAGTCGGCGCCACAAAGCATAGTTACGTAACTTGCGGGTTCCGTTACCAACTACCCGAAACCAAGGACCGACCGTAAATGAAATGGTAGTTTTCCGTGGCTAACCGGCTAACCGGGTTGGTGTACCGGTCCGGCCGCCACCCGGTTAACCGGCTGCGGCCGCGTTATGGTTGACAAGGGCTGTTGTGGGTGACGGGACGTGCGTGCGCCGTCTGCACGATGTTTGCGTGTACTCTAACCTTTCTGCGTTTTGCTCAAGTTTTTCATTGGCGTTCGATGGGTGGAGTTTGATGGGGCATGTGTTTTTGACGGTCGTTTAACAAAAGTTTTATTACTGACGCATTTATCCGATTGCAGTCGCAAGTGTTAAAATATTGTATGTTTTATTTTGAAATGTGTGAAAATAAACAAGAGAGATGACGTTAAGCGATCAAAAGACGTATAATAAAGCGTAACGCGATCGTCCCACGCGGCCACAATATATTCAAATAAAGAACTCTTCAAAGGAAAAATTTTATTCAAATGGCGAGGCGACCGCAGCCGTGCTCGCCCCGCCTCCACGGAAGAACTTGCTTTCTCGACCTTTTCCATTGGCTGGCGAGCGAGAAGGCGGGCCTTCTTGAAGTCTTCGCCGAGACTAACTTTTCATTTGCACAGCTCTGAAATATAGCTTGAGATTAAAGCGCAACGTGGAACTTCTCTGCGGTTTCTCTCGAGACGTACTTTTTTTTTGTTTGCAGCCGGCCTAAGCAATATGCAGTGGATCTTCAATTTCCATTAATAACTTGCGGTGGCTTTTCCTAAGGCGAAGTATATTAAAAGTCGGTTTTCGTAGTTATTTTCTTATTACGTAAGACGGCAAAAAGTGCGGCCTGAACACTTTGAATGGAATTAATTTTGTATATGAGTCGTCTTAAGTAATTTTTCTTTGTGCGTACCTACTAATGCGCGCCGAGGTTAATTAGTAATATTAGGTTTTTAATACTTTCTTGTACTCAACTACACAGTATTAATACTCATGATCTTTATTACATTCTACATGTTTAGTTCTAGTA